CATACTACCACGCCGCGGCTACGATCAGAAAGTCGCGTCCTATTGTGACCAAGTTAATGAATGACAATGGCGAATGGATCTCAGATGAGGCTGCCCTAAAACAACATATCCGAGCCTACTATATAAAGCTACTCTCGAAAGAAGCCGAAGAAGTCCCGGGGGCCGTTTTAGGAGCGAATTTCCCGAAGTTGACCAACACTGACTGGACCATTTTCAATAGAGCGGTTTCGGAGGAGGAGGTTCACAATGCCTTATCAGACATGAAACCTTTCAAAACCCTGGGCCCGGACGGATTTCAGGCCGGTTTTTACCAACGCATCTGGACAGTGACGGGTGATAGCATCTTCAGCTTAGTTAAAAAGGCGATTACGACGGGATCGATCCCAGAGGGGATCAATGACACGCTCATCGCCCTCATTCCCAAAGTCAAGGCTCTGGAGACCATCAAGCAGTATAGACCGATAAGTCTATGTAACGTAAGCTATAAAATCATTACAAAATGTATAACTAACATCCTTAAATGTATCCTGCCAAAGATTGTAGGTCCTTTCCAGAGCTAATTTGTTCCAGGAAGGCAGATATCGGACAATGTGATTATCTTTCAAGAGGTTATACATTCCATGCGGGCAAAGCGTGGGAGGAAAGGTTACATGGCGATTAAACTGGACCTCGAGAAAGCGTACGACCGCCTATCTTAGAGCTTTATCCAAGACACCCTTGAGTGGGCAGGCTTTAATGAATCTTGGAGAAATATTATGATGACATGCATCAGAACTTCTAGACTGTCTATCATGTGGCACGGGGAGAGGCTCGAGCCGTTTATCCCGGAATGGGGCATCCGGCAAGGGGATGCAATGTCGCCAGCCATCTTTGTCCTGTGCATGGAACGACTAAGCCAGTTGATTGTGACGGAAGCTACGAGGAACAGATGGAAGAGGATTAAATTGGCTCCCTCGGGACCTTCTCTAACCCATCTTTGTTTTACAGATGACATGGTGCTCTTCTTGGAAGCCTCGATTGAACAAGTAGAAGTGATTCAAGCTTGCCTAGACCGGTTTTGTGGGGGCATCGGGACAAAAAATAAGCCTGAACAAATCTCAGGTGCATTTTTCAAAAAACACCGATACGGCCCTCACGGATGAGATTGCCAAAAACCTAAATATTGCGAAGATGAATGACCTTGGGAGGTACCTCGTGTCCCGACTCTTCATGGACGGGTAATGTGCAACGTGCAACACTTACTCGGGTCTCCTTGGAAGGGTTTCAGCACGACTAGAAGGGTAGAAATAAAAAACCCTCTCCATGGCGGGAAGAGTTGTCTTAGCCAAGTCAGTTTTGAACGCCATCCCTGTTTACACTATGCAGACTGCGGCTCTTCCAAAGGGCATTTGTTTAGAGATAGAAAAACGAACGAGAAGGTTCATTTGGGGCGGCAACGCGGCTGGAAATAAACTTAGCCTTACAAACTGGGCTTTGGTCACGACCGCAAAGAAGGCCGGGGGTTTAGGTCTGAGAAGTATGCATGATTTAAATCTGGCTTATATGGTGAAATTAGGCTGGCGTTTAAAGAAGGAACCAAACTCTTTATGGGCCAAAACCCTAACCTCAAAGTACAACGCAGGGGGAGAACATCATCCTGGAGCGACGAGAAGAAGAAAGATATCGAACGTTTGGCGAGGCATTAGTGAAGCAAAGGAGACTTTAGAGAAAGGGTTATCGCGCATTGTGCACAATGGAAGGATCACCAGATTCTGGATGGATAGGTGGATCTCGCCAAAACCTCTGTATGAGCATATGCGCACTACGTTAAGCCTCCCCGACCTCTACGCGAACGTCTCAGACCTCTGGGATAAGTGGACTGGTTGGAAATGGGAGTCCATTGAGCAAGCGTTGTCGGTTGAAATTAAAGAAAAGCACGCAAGCTTTGTCCTAGCTGATGAGAGCATGGAAGACGAGATTGGATGGGGAATGGAACCAAACAGAAGGTTCTCTGTTAAGTCTGCATACGAGATGATAATACCACCGGACACGGCGACCGCAATGGACACCGAATGGAGGAAAATATAGAAACTCCATGTTCCGGTGAAAATAAGCATGTTCATGTGGCTAGTGAAGCATGGAAAAATTCTCACTGACTACGAACGTGCCAGGAGAAAGATCACATCTAACAGCTTCTATTTGGCGGTGGAGGAATGACGAGGTTTTCAACTCTATATCAACGGCGCATGAACAAAAGATGGAATTCCTCAAACGTTATGATTCAGAGGTCAAGGCGGCATTCGTATCGAGGAGGAGCTCAATGGAGATGAACCTGCCGGCGGTGGAGAACCAGATAGGATGGCAAAAACCATCTTCTGGTTGGCTTAAGCTAAATGCAGATAGATACTGCAAACGTGCGGGGGGGGGGGGGGGGGGGGTAGCTGGCTGTGGAGGTCTGATAAGAGATCATCAAGGAAGTTGGTGCAAGGGCTTTACATACAACATAGGCCGATGCACAGTAGAAAAAGCGGAAGCCTGGGGATACTACAAGGAATCAATGCGTCAAAGAGCTGCGGTGTAACCAAACTCTTGGTGGAATGCGACTCAAAGATCATCGTGAGGAAGCTTCGAGAGGAGTCTGACGGACGAAGATCCGGCAACAACGTCATCAACCTATGCATTAAACAAGCCGGAAGTCTGCAGGAGGTGTACTTTGAGCATGTATACAGAGAGCAAAATAGGGCGGCGGACAAATTGGCCTTGTTGGCTCTGGAGCATCACTTAGGCCTTCGTATCCTTCTGGAAGAACCACCGGAAATACGGGAGATCATACAGCAGGACAAACTAGGAGCAAGCTTCGCAAGACGTACACCACAAACCCGAAACGTGGCTAGTGATCATTAATGTTTTATTTGGGTGTCCCCCTCCTCTTGATTTAAATATATATATATATATATATATATATATAACATCATTCCCTCTTGCAAATTAAAATCCAAAGTTTATTAGTCCAAATCAAATTAACATGTATAAAAAGTCCAACCATAATCTGCACACTACTCATATGAGTATACGGCATATACATGTCATCATAAAATTCAAATAAATGATCTTAGGGCGTATTCAAACATGATTTTTATAAAATTTTAAAGACTTTTAAGAACTTTAAAAGTTTGGGGTATTCAATTCAAATTTTTAAGAAGTTTTTAAAAGTCAAGTGGTATTCAATTAAGATTTTTAAAGAATTTTTAAAAGTGGAGTGGTATTCGATTAAAACTTTTAAAGAGTCTTTAAAAGTCATGTGATATTCAAAAAGTTATAAATTTGTGTAGACTTTTTAATTTTAGAACTTTTGTAGACTTTTCATTCTCAAATATAAATAGCTGAAATCCAACCCTCAACCCCAAGATTTCAAAATTTTCTTTCTACCAACTCTGAAGATTTTCTCTGTCTATTTTTTTTCTCCCTATTTAAACTTTATAAACCTTATACCTAAATTCAATAAATTAATTTTTCTTCATTATCCTATTTTTTTCTTCATACATAAACTCTACTAATTTTTTCTCTCTTCTAAACTTTACCATCTTCCTCCTAAATTTTGATATAATATTATTTTTACTTTCATTATACTTGTATATTTTGATTTTTTATTTTTTTCTTCTACGAACTTTTTATCCCAAACTTCTAAACTTTCTCTACGAACTTTTTCTCCATAACTTCTAAACTTTCTTTAAGAACTTTTTTTTCCTAAATACATGAACAAAGCTAATTTTTCATCAATCACTGTCAAAATTTACTATATGTTACATAATATTCATATAAATACTTGTATATTTTAATTTTTAATCTTTTAAAAGCAAACTATTGTTCGCAACAACAATTTGAGGCTGCAAACAGTAGCACCTTGTTGATGTTCGCAGTCCTACATTGCTTTTGCAAATAATAGTTGTTTGCTTGATGTCTAGCAGCTGTATATCAAGTATAATTATATATATATATATATATATATATATATATATATATATATATATATATATATATATATATATTATTAAGATTATTTTTTTATTTTTTTATTTTATGCAACTAGTAATTATATTTTGATTGGGTGAAGAACTATATAAAAAGAAGAATTTTATAATATATTATATCTAAGAAAATTATAAACAATAAGAATCGAAATGATTGAAAGTTTGTAAGGATATATTCAATTTAGAATTTCAATGACTTTTTATAGACTTTTTAAAATAAAAAATTGATAAAAGTTTATGAATGATTTTTATAAAGACTTTTATAGAGTGTTACAAAGTTTTAAAAAGTTTTGAAAGACTCAATGAAAGTCAATAAAAATTTATTAAAATCTATCATTTAAAAAAGTTTTAAAAGTTTACAAAAGTCAATACAGCCCCTAATTTAGGAGACACTGAATACCAACTCAGGTTTGTGATTGTTGATTATGCCAAGTAATTAACCTATTTTCTCTGCATATTTTACTAATATTCATATTTTGCAATATGAAACTAATTAATCTAACGGGGTTTCAATTAGCCACATTTCAAAAAGACAAAGAATGTATATGTTTAAATTAAAAGCTAATTGCCAAATTACACAAATAACGGATGATAGAATCAAATGGAAAATAATGGATACTTCATTATTTTAAGCATTTTTTTGTTTGTTTTTTTTTTCCTACTTGTAATAATAATAAACATACGTATGTATCTGGTAACCAAAATCTGACTACTGTTCTCGATCAATAAAGAAAACTCAAAGAATATATGTATATATATGTGTGTATGCATCTCCTAATTAACACATGTACCTAAGCTATCTTCTCTTTCTTTGGGTGTAGCCCAGGATTTCAATCCCACGGTCGAACACAGTGACTAAGCTATCTTCTTTGTATAAGCAACAAAATTGAGAAGTAAAGAAAGAGAGAAAACAAATAATGAAAGTATGAATAAAAGAACCTAGCTAACCTAATAATCTCTAATCTCTTTTCCGTGTTTGCATGCATTTAATCAAACCTGACTAAAACCAAAATTTTCTGGGGTGGTTGTTGATGTTGTTGTTGTTTTATTTTTGTGTTCTCCAAACGCGGTGCAACTTTTGGTTGCATTATGACCCCTAATAATCTTTGCCCTCACATGTTCAGGCAATCTCAAAGTAAACCTATCCTCCCCTCCCCTACTCCTACCTATTGAATGCCCGGTTGAATGAGACCTCGAGAATTTCTCTTCTTCCTTATTATCATCATTATTATGGTTTCCATCGTTAGTATTAAACGTTACAATAGATTCACGTTGCTTATTAGTGACACATGGGGATGAGTCCCCGGCTGCGCCGGGTCCCACCGTGCTGGTTCTGGTTTCTGAATTATTATTATTGTCTGCTTCTTCACCCACATCGTCCTTTATCGTGATGCTGTGCATGTCCCCGGGCAGCTCGGTGTCGTCCTGGAAGTTGTCCGGGGGCATGGCGGTGCCGTCCAGGGCGGAGTGAGGCGGGGAAGGCGAAGTCGACTTCGCCGGAGAGTCGAGGGCCTGGCGGCAGACCGGGCAAGTCTTGTGCGATTCCAGCCAAAGATCGATGCATTCTTGGTGGAAGACGTGATTGCAGGAGGTCAAGAGGCGCAACACGCTGGCGTCCTCGAACTCCACCAAGCAAATGGCGCATTCTAACCCATACTGTTCCTTCCGGTAATCCTTCACGCTCGAGTAGGTGAACGTGGGGAAGGATTCAATGATGGACGGGTCGATCCCCGGGGAATCGACGTTGCCCACCGGACCCACCGGAGCTCCGGCCTGGCCACGCCGGTTTTGCCACAGCGTTTGTATGCAACACTTGCAGAATACCACGAAGAAAATGCCCAGGAAGAAGAACACGAGGAGGAAGGCTATCAAGAGAAGGGTAACCGGCGGCGGAGAAACATATTGCGACGGTGGCGGTGGCGGTGGCGATGGCGCGGCAGAGGCAGTAGACATTGGCCGGAAAGAAGGGAGGAGTTTGGGTTAAACAAATGGAATTCGGATTCTTCTTTAGTTTCTTGGCCGGAAATCAGCAAATCCAGCCCCCGATAGATAAATTTGTTTTCACTTTGTACGGACAAGAGAAATAAAAGTGAGAATTGAAAGAAATTCAGGAAAAAATTTGTGTCTAAGGATTTTATTTTGTATGCAGTATAAATATTTAATATTTTTAATAAAATTTTTTTTATGATGAGTGAGAGTGTTTCATGAGAACGAGTGACTCAAACTCAAAAGAGAGATGGGCATGGCATGCATAGCAGAGTAATCTGGTTGAGTTGGTTTTGTGGTTTGTGGTTACGAGGAAAATAAGGCACTTTGCATTAATAACCTCAATACCGTTACTTTGTAAAACTTGTTCACATATTTGACATATTGCATGATAATTTTGTACCTTAAAATGTGTTATATATAATTTACAATATGGTAATTTCAAGATTTGGTAAAAAATTTGAAAGTAATTAAAGCCTTTCATCTTATCTTACTCTATATAATAACAAAATATTTTTTGCCAATCAATTTCCCGCCTAAATGAAATTGCATCATTTTAAGGTATTAACTACCAATTAAATGAAATTTCATCATTTTAAGGTATATAATGCAACATACTTATCTATTTTTAATACATGTTAATCTACAATTATTGTTATTTAATGATGAAGCAGGTAATACATTCCAGTATTTTTAAGTTAACATTTTATTATATAAATTAATTTATTGTTTACTGAAAAAAAAAATTAGAATATCCGATTTTAAAAAATAAGATTAACCTGTTTTTTTATTCTTACAATTTTGTTGATCGACAACAATTTAATTGTTCATTCTAATATAGTTTTGAGAGGGAAATTTTTTTTTTAAAAAAAAAAGTTACTAAATCAGTTACTAAATAGAAAAAAAGTTTTTTTTAAAATTTAAATCAGTTGCATGAACAATAATATTGGAGAGACGAGTAAGTTTAAACAAATAATTATTGAACTGATATTAAGTAATTAGAAAATATGATGTATTTCTTAATTTCGTTTTAAACAATAAGTTTTACCTGAAGATGATACTGTATTTATTAGTTTGTTTTAGATCTGCTCCGGTCACCCGATTTTTCAGATCGGCATTTGGGGAAGAAAGCAATTCCACAACGGCCAAAAGCTACAGTCAAATTATCTGAAAAGTTTTTTAGCAGTGGATTACTTGGACGTGCGATGATTTAAAATCGAGTGTGTCAAGAAGCCGGAAACAGAGAAGGTTCGCGTAAGTCAGTGAACATTTTAGAGAGAATGACGAACGCAACAAAGTATATGGAAGCGCAATCGTCAAAAAATATGGATTAGGGTTTGGTAATCAGGTTTTATAATTGGGTTAATGGGCTCGGGGTATTGGGCTGAAATGCAACGTAACTGGGTTATATGGATAGATAATTAAATGTTTATTGGGCTTAGCATTGCATGTTTTATTTTTTTCTTTCATGTCATGAAATATTTCATATTTATTTTAGATTTATATATGTTGTACGTATATAATTATTATTATTAAGCAATGTTTAAGAAAAGATTTTCGTAGTTAGTTTCAATGTATGATGATGATACTGTATTTTTTATTAATATATTGTCAAGTATATGTACTATAGGCTTTAATTGCAAATCATATTAATAAATGTTTTTATATATAAAAAAATTTAATTTCATAATTTTTTATTGTATATTGTTTGATTTCCTAATTTTTAAAATTTTTTTTTTTATAAAAATGTGTGTGTGTGTGTGTTTGTGTGTGTGTGTGTGTGTGTGTATATATATATATATATATATATATATATATATATATATATATATATATATATATATATATAATTATTTTAATGTACACTTTTTTAATCTCATGTGGTTATAACATACCCAATTCTTTATAATATATGCTAACAGTATGTGATGTTCGATATAACAACCAATTTAGTATTGTTAAAGAAAAATACATTTCAGAATAAGTTTTAATTTTATGATTAATATTTTATTTTATTATTTTTAAAATATTATCAATAATAAAGTTACTTAAATTTTATGCCGTGCATCGCACGGGGCAAAAACTAGTTTAAAAAAATAGCGAGATGTGTAGGGAATTTTGAGTGTGATCAAATTTAATTTATAAATTGTGGATAGATATATGGTTACAAAAGAAAATATGGTAAATATTAATTGGTCCCGATGGTTAGGGGTACAACCGTACAAATCTAGAGGGAGTGGGGTCGTGGGGGTTGAATAGACTTGTAAGATTTTAAAATATTTTTCAAAAGTTCTTAAGCGTTGATTTCTTTCCTCTTCTCCGAGTCAGTGTTTGGAACTTTTGCTAAAAAATGGTGAGAGTTAGCGTGTTGAATGATGCTCTGAAGAGCATGTACAATGCTGAGAAGAGGGGAAAGAGACAGGTTATGATTAGGCCTTCCTCAAAAGTGATTGTCAAGTTTCTTCTGGTGATGCAGAAGCATGGATACATTGGGGAGTTTGAGTATGTGGATGATCACAGAGCAGGTAAAATTGTCATTGAGTTGAATGGGAGGTTAAACAAGTGTGGTGTAATTAATCCTCGTTTTGACATTGGTGTCAAGGATATTGAAGGGTGGACTGCAAGGTTGCTTCCATCAAGACAGTTTGGATACATTATGCTGACTACATCTGCCGGCATCATGGACCACGAGGAAGCCAGGAGAAAGAATGCTGGAGGAAAAGTTCTTGGCTTCTTTTACTAGAATTTTCTTGTTGACGAGAATGACAGGTGTTGGTTTTTGTCATGTATTTCTGCTTTATACCTTCAGCATGGAGATCTATATGTTTGATTTTAACTTTGTTTTCCCTAAGATTTGAGTAGATTTTGTTTGCCTTTATTTCAAAAAAAAAAAAAAAGTTCTTAAGCGAGCTTGAGTAAACTTGAACTTAGTTTTGTTTTGAGTACGCACATCGAACCATACATTTTATCCATTTTTACTTGTGTTGCACGTGTTTGTTATTTTCAAAGTTAGGTTGACTGTTTAAGTAATAGAATGTAAATGCATTATAAAAGATAAAGAGAGATTATGAAGTGGTTCGGCCAAAATCCAATTTACGTCCACTCTTCTCCTTAACGCAATAGGATTGCACTAAATCCCTTAATAAGGGGGCGTTTGGTTCATAGAATCTAGGATTACCCTAAAGTTATTACCTCCAGGAAAGTAATATGAGGTTTTTAGAATTTAAGATTACTTTGGGGGGCGTTTGGTTCACGAAATGTTAGATTACCTTAGGGAATGTTATATTGCTGGGAATGTTAGATTACTGTGTTTGGTTTAAAATTAAGATATGTAAATAAGACAACAGTAAATAGATAAATTGATTAAAAATAAAAAGCCCAACATTTGTAATAAGACAAGGGAATGTGAGATTACCTAAGAAATTGGAGGGTATCTCACATTCCCTTCTAATAGCTAAAAACTTAATGGGAATGTTATCTGACATTCCCTGGGAAAGTTACATAACCTGAACCAAACATGAGAATCTTATATTACCAAGCAAATATAATCTTGGTTATCTTATATAACCTGAACCAAATGCCCCCTATGTGTTTGGTTTAGATGGTAGAATATAATATTACCAAGTGTCTGTGTGCGCGAGTGCACGCGCTTAAATATTAAAAAAATAAATATATAATATACAAAACATGTATATTTGATTATATACCAGTGTTGCAAAAATCGCGCCGCCCGGCCGCGGACGATTCGACTGGAATCGGCCTCCCTCCGCGGCCGGCTAGGTGGTCTAGGCGGCCGATTATTGTTTTTTTTTTTTTTTTTTTTTTTTTTTTTTGTGGTGAAAAGTGCATAAACTTTGGCAAGGCATAACTTTTGACTCAGTTGTCCGTTTTGGACAATTTGTTTTTCAAATCGCGTATTTTTTTGAGATCTATACACCACAAACAGTCAAAGGCGGTTTGACCCTCTAATTTCTCCAAAAAATGCTTCTTTTGCTCTTAATTTTTAATTTTTTATGTATTTAGATGGTTTCAACAATATTCAAAACGATTTTACAACCACTTACGTAAATAATTTGTAAAAAAAAAAAATAGAGGAACCTTATGTTTTACTATTGAATTTTAAAATTTTTAGTTTAAATTTTATTTATTTTTTTATTTTTTAAAAAATAAAAAAATATAAAAAATTTAAAAAATCGACGCCTAGGCGCTAGGCGCCCCCTCGGCGCCTAACTTTTTTGCAACCTTGTTATATACACATATACTATTATTATTATTATTATTATTATTATATAAAGATTAATTAACAAGAGCAAAGTTGGAATAATTTAAGGTAATCTAAGATTACTTAAGAAAATGGAGGTAATCACATACATTGAAACATTACTGCCACATCAACTTTGAGATAATATAACTGATGGAATAATATTCCATATATTATTATCATTATTATTTGTGAAGGAAGATGCAGTCAAATAAGAGAGAGTCAGACCAATAAACTAGGAAATTTTTATGGCCTTGATATTATGAGAAGTTGCAATTGATGACCTTATATAAAAGGCTCTGGGATCAGACAAATGGGGAGGCTAATTCAGTCCTAACTAATCTTTCTTCTACATATTTCTTCCCCATTCACTCCATAGTCATGACTACCTATGTACATTTACACCTACAAATATAATAAATAATTTTCTAAAAGTGCCCGTGATTTTTACCGTTTTGATTTCCACATTAAATAATTGTGTCCTGCTTCTTTATTAATTCAATGCAATCACCTTATATCACTCTTCTTTTCTTATGGAGAAATAAATTTTCTCCAACAATGATGCTCTCGTTGAGCTACAAGCTCGAGCGTGCTATCGACTAGCTATGAAAATATCGAGATCCAACTCTAGCAATTCGCACGACTCACGCAACACCCGTGTTACCCCGAGTGGGAACGGCCTCAATGGGACCGCTTGTCGGCAAACCCTCTCCATCAGGTCGGTTGGGGACCTACTAGATCAACTCAACAACAA